ATGGCGATGACGTTCTCACGAAACCCATTGCAAAATGATTGAGCAGAATGCATTAAATCAGCACATGATCCTAATATATGTATTGATGACTTTGATGTAGTACAAGTTATAATGAACATGTATATGTAATTGCATATGCACATGGATTGATGTTTTAAATAGTGCAAAACATCTTTTTATGAGCTTTAAAGTTGCTCCAAAATCGGGCAAAAGTCCCTGTACTATAGTACAGGGTCATTGGCCAAATTTCACCAAAAATGACTAGGAGAGAATTCTCAATTTTTATTACATTTTCTGATACATATACATGTACTTATGTTGCGTAGAAAGTTTGAGCTGATTCCGATCAAGTTTGGATTTTTAAAGAATTTTTAAAGTTGCTCCGAAATCGGGCCAAAGTCCCTGTACTATAGTACAGGGTCATCGGCCAAATTTCACCAAAAATGACTAGGAGAGAATTCTCAATTTTTATTACATTTTCTGATACATATACATGTTCTTATGTTGCGTAGAAAGCTTGAGCTGATTCCGATCAAGTTTGGATTTTTTTACGAATTTTTAAAGTTGCTCCAAAATCGGGCCAAAGTCCCTGTACTATAGTACAGGGACTTTGGCCCATTATATGTATTAAAGCCTAAACAAACATACACTATCCATACATGTACATTGTTAATGTATTCCAAAAGTGAAACATTAAAAACATTCCCAGTAACATATTAAAGTGTGTCATTATACCATAGTGCATTAGTGGCTGGATGGCCCACAGTAATGTATCTGAGACAAAGGAGCAATGGTAGGAGAGAATGTTAGGATGAGACAGTAAAGATGAATATTTCATTTCATTTTGTACCTAAAAAAAATTATTTACATTTATCATTGTTATTGCTACCATTCGTATTATAATGTAAGTTATTATTATTATTATTATCGTTATTATCGTTATTATTATTATTATTATTATTATTATTATTATACTTCTTCTAGTTTGTCTGTATCAAGAGACTCCAAATCAAACTGTCTGACGACAATGATCCTGTTGGTTGGTTTGTGTCTCGATAATTGAATATTAGCAATACCATAACAACCAATACCTAGAGAAAGGACAGTAACAGAAAGATGATGATTTTGGAGTAGTAAATTTTTGGTGAATTGCTAAATTCTATCTTTTGTTTTACCAATTGACTGAAAGAATTCATAGTCTTCATGATTCGACGTAAACCCATCAGCTCTTTCATCCATTATCATCTGATGATGAGACTGATCCTATTAATAACTATTAATAACTCCTCGCCCCACCCACTAATTACTAATTAATAAGTCCGGGCCCCCCCAATGTAAGCACAGCTTAAAAACAAAATACAACATAATACTTAATACTGTACAGCCGGAAATATAATCGACAATAATTGGCGATTTTTAAAATTGATATTTCCAGCTGTACGGTACGTGATTTTCTCCCTCACAAGTGATACTGAAAAGGTGATTGGCTGATCTGTTGCCATGGTAGCAATACTGGATTGGTCCAAAGGAACGACTTGTGATAGTCTCTGGCAACAAGAGGACATTAAACTTTAGGTAGACCCCACCTGAATAATCAACCAGAGACAAAGGAGAGTAAAAGAGGAATAGAAAAAGAACCACTTATTTCCTGTTCTCTTACCACTAGAAAGCTGGCTACGCGAGACGACTGGAAACTGGAAAGGTAAGAAAATGCGAGGAACAGCAGCTAAATGGGCGTGACCAATCAACCATTATTGCTCCACCCACATGAAAAATGAACAAATTAAAATTATTTTTATTAAAAAAAAATTACTCTAAACTACTGTTTTAGACTCTAAAGCAGGAGTAGATGAAATAATTTTAGACAAATAACGATATTGTAGCAGTAGTATTGCATTTTGCAACATTATAATATTATCAAGTGCTGATAAAAGCTTTTCCAATAGAATGTAATGATATACAGTTCCATGTCTTACTTTACTATGAAAAATAAGAATCATATGAACTTTTTTGTAATTCTTCCAATCAACTACTAAACTGATGATTTTATTATGAATTAATTCGGAGTCGAAAAGCCTAACTACTTCTGTAGCCTTTTCCTCATTTCCGTTAAACTTATGGCAGTAGTAAATCATGACAATGGTATACAGGTACTCGTGCTCTTGAATATTTTCCTTTAAATATTTGTTGTAAAATTTTACTGCTTTCTCATAAAACCCAGAACCAAAATAAGCACGTCCTTTTTCATAGTTGTTACATGACTTTTCAACGCATTTTTCCATTGGCCATGACAGTCTTGCCCTTAACTGCAACACTTCAACTAAAGTGTCGATATCACTTGCATCATAGCAGTATTTCTTCATTTGATTTAAAAATTTGTTCACATATTTTACAATTTCATGGCCATGCTCCTTATGCAGCTCTATAATTCTTTCTTTACGAAATTTTAAATAATCAAGAGCTTCTTTTGGTCCATGAAGATAGTCCTCAAAAAAACTGACTTGAATTATCATTTCCACAAAAATATTCATGTAGTATTCAGCTCCGTTTTCAGAAATGACTGCTTTGCTATGAAGATCCAACATCATGACAATTCTGTATCTATCCTTAAGATTTGATGTTGTATCTTCAACTGCCACAAGGGCTGTAGATCTATCATCTTGTGCACTTTTTTTAAGATGCCTGAAATAATCTGTTAGTGAATCTGAATAGCTTGTATATAATTCAGCTGATTCTGTATATTTTTTTATGTATGAATTGTCCATTCCTAATTCAGGCAAAATCTTTTCCAAATATTCAAAATTATGCCTTTCCAAATCAAGTGCTGCTATAACATTAATGTCATAGTTCCCATCATCAACATAATCATGATACGTATTCCAGTAATCTGCAAAATAAACAACAAATCCTTTTTTAAACTGCTGTATTTCAACATTAGTTTCGCTATTTTGAGAATTAACACTTGACAAGAACATTTTGATAAGTTTGTGAAAAGAATAGCGATGAGAATTAGAATGATACTTCAAGAGGGATCGATGTACAAGTATGTTAAGACATTTTGATGGTTGTGGCACCCAATTAAGAAATAAGTTAAATTCATGAAGAATTCTTACATACCAATATGTCCTGTTCACCATATCTGTTAAAACACCTACAGCAGCATCATGACTAAAAGAACCAGGGAAATTAGCTAGAAAACGAGCGCAAGATTGTGTATATTCATCATCTAAGCTATCATATGACAGTTGTAGTGATGTTTGAACTTTGTAATATTCAGGGAGTGAGTCAGGGCTTAGCACTTTAATGGGGTTGTTTGTAATTTCAGTGACAATTGCCTGAGGAGACATTGTATCTGTTTCCAAAAGAGCTCCCACAACTTGAAGTGCAAGAGGTACACTTCCAACACCATTAGCAATTTTTATTGCATCTTGTTCCAACAACTTAGAATTTAGTGTCATAAGTAGATTAACAGCATCTTCCAAACGTAATTCCTCAAGTTTTATTTTCTTAAATTGACCAATAAATGTTACTATGTGCTTGCTTGTAAAAATTATCTTTGCAGAAGTTGAATGTTTAATTAAAATATCAAATATCTCTTGTACCATACCTTTTTGATTACTGTCAAAGAGCTTATCACAGCCATCAAATATCAAAACTTTTTGATAGGAAGAATTCTTTTGAGCCCAATGCTTTAATTCTTCTATCATTACAGAGTGTTCAGTACTGTTCATCATGCCTCCCAGAATCTTATGAAGAAGATGAGGAACATATAAAACTTCCGATACATCAAAATAATCAACTGAGACATTGTTTATTTTATTCGATACTTCATGGCCAGCCCTTATTGCCAATGTTGACTTTCCAATTCCAGGTCCACCAAATATTCCAATTATTTCAACGGTTGAGTTATGAAAATTCAAAAAACTGACCAAAGTCTGTAGTTCAGTGTCTCGGCCAACAAATATATTTTGAACTTTTGGTAATTTTGTTGAATAAATTTTTGGGAGATCAGTTAATGGTGGCATATATGAGTACTCAAAAGGAATTCCAAACGAACAGCTTCGGCCAAAAGAGTAAATTATCAAAGAGAAGAAAAGTAATCGCAGAACAAAGGAACATAGTTTTTTTACAAACCCTATGAGAATTAAAAAATTGTAATAACATGCCTATAAACTCACCTTGAACTTTAGAATAAATTTCCTTCTTAGCAAGTATGAATAGGAGATACATTGTTATTTCATTGGCTAGCTTTCTATGTCCCGTTCCATCTGTTGTCTTCAGTAGACACTCAACAAACTTAGCAAGAAAATCAGATTCTTTTAAAGGCAGCCCCTTTACGAGAGTATTAATTTTATGCTGACGAGTGAGGCAAGGATTCGAGAGAATCTCAAACTCATTATCTGAGAGTAAATCATTTGAGTATAGATGAGGCAGGACTGCTTCTACGTCCATAAAATTATGAATATAAGCAGTGGAGCCTCTTATGACTTTCCTCTGAATACTCTCGGAAAATTCTGATTAAGGAATCAATATGAGTTATCGGCGGCTTATCATGCATGGATGGCTTACTTTGGGTATAGATAGTGCCATAGACCTCTAAGATACTGCTTTCAGTGCTTTGACTCATTTTTTGGTCGAGCAGTCGAAAAGGTGCTGCAACGTAGGCTAGGGGCTAAGTGGCCTTTTCTATATAGACTAAAAAGAAAATAGAGCATCTCGTGTAATCCTAGTAGGCTATTTTCTTACTGAGTAAAAGAATAAATACCTCGGAAAATACTGTACAATCACAATGGACCTTATTCAATGAAATTTTTCTAATTAACGCGCACCTGAGTTGGTGGTAAAATGGCGGATTTTTGTAAGAAGGACAGGGTGAGCAATCTTGTCTTTTTATCCAGCCATTCTAGCTGTGAGAACCACTTTGAGCTGTCCTTTTGTTTCAGTATACTCTATTTATCTCTTCCGTAAGCTCTTTGGTTGCTGTTTTGGCTTTTATAGCATTTTATCATAGGAATATTCTTACTCATTGGGAATTCCCGTTTTTCTAAATTTTGCTTTCAGGAGCCAGGGCGCTTGCCCCTCCGTTGCTATCAAGACAGAAGTGTATTCACCTGAGTCCTATGACTAATTTCTATCATCAGACTTAGTCTCAGTCCGTCAGAACCAGGTACGGTGGAATAACTCACTCAGTTGTCATGTTGCAGCTGGAGTGTGGATGATTATGACCATCTTTTCACTTCTTAAAACTATAGGTTGCTCT